TGAATTTAAAAGACGAAAAAATCAGTACTTTAACTTTATTAATGTTTTTTCAGATTATATGTTATTTATACATGAATAATCCATTTACTTATAGATTAATATTTTTTAATTTAAATACTATTATTTTTAAGGTTACGTGTAAATATTTTTCATATATTTGGATTAAAATATGCTCCTCTAGTTTTATTTATAAGGCGAAGAATGAAGATATTTTTTAGTTATATTTATAAGGTAGTGAGAGAAATTTTTTATATAGATTTACAATTTAACCTTTTATTTATTATTGTGTTGACTTTATTTATATAAAGTATAATGTATATTAAATAATGGTAAAGTTAGAAAATTATTAAATTTTAAATGAGTTAACCAAGTTTAGTGTTTTTCTTGGCATGGATGAAACATGTTAGAATTGACTTATAAATAAAATTATATAAATATTATTTTAATCATGTTCATTTTTTTTTTTCGGGTTAAAAGGGATGGGATCAAACCCGCGCACACACACCCCACACACACACATACCACTCGGTCAAACTGTCGGTGGTTAATCATGTTCATTTTTGCAATGCAGTGAACACTCTTCAGGCAATATCTGATAAATGCACCAACTTAAATTGGACGGTTACATGGGGATCTTGCATTAAGGCAACTGTTGGATTTAATAATTACATGATTAATATGTCCCGACCCAGTTCTTTCACTCAAATTGCCAGCAACGTCACTTGCGATTGCTCCTCCCAAAACGGCACCGTTTGCCATGTCACTAATCTGTATGTGATCTTCTTCCTCTACTTACCTTTAATTTTACTGGTATACTACTTTCCATACTTAAGCTAAATAATTAATTTTAAAATATTATAAAAGTAATTAAATTAGGGGAGAATTACAATGAGGTCCCAAGTAATTAAAAAACAAGTCCCAGAGGTTGTCATTCTCACTGTAGGACTTGTTATTTCAGGCTGCTCAGGTTGTTACTTAGGACTTTGTAGTGATTATTTCTCTTGTGTGGGACTTGAATGTAATTCTCCCTTAAATTAGTTACTTATAATAAATGAGTGTTAGCTTTCCTAAAATTCATTTATCAATCAGTATTGAAACTATCATTTAATGGAATTCTTAACATATGTAACCAGTAAGAATATTTTAAGAAAAATTATAAATTTGAGAGTAAAAATAAATTGAGATTTTATATTTAAAATCAAAATGAACATAAAAGTGAATGAATAATTTCTTATGAAATAATAGTATTTAATATTACATCATAGTTTTTTTTTGGTCAAAATATTACATCATGGTTTAGATTAGACAATATTTTCCTTATTAAGAGCTAATATTGATGTTTTAATTCATAATTTCAAAAAAAAATAAACATATACTCAAAATATGTAAATAAAAAAAATCTTTTGGCCTATCTATTATTTTACTATCATGAAAATTTACAATTTAAACCATTTAAAAGCAAATGATTCAAGTCATATCAGTGAGGTAAACAAAAGTTTTTTCATGAAAATATTGAACAAAATAACTCAATTTTCTCAATTATACACAAACCCACAAGACTTCTTTAAATTGTATGCTGCATTTTTTTAATGATTAGACGCGTTTAATTAGTGAGAGAACAATTTTTCAATGGTACATAGTATGTTGAGAGGCATGAATATATCTGGAGTTATGCCCACTAAACTCGGAGATCTCACCCAGCTGAATATCTTATAAGTGATCACACACAGATATACATATATCTGCACACACAAGGTCTTATTTGATTGCATCATCATTGTGAAACCATACACCAGAATCTGATAAAGACTGACAGAAACTTACTATTGCGTTGAGCAGTGATGTCCATTACAACTATCTGAATGGTACAATTCCAACGTACTTTACTCGCATTCCCATTACCAATCTGTAAGTTGTCAAATATGAACAAGGCAAGCAATTAGGGAAGTTCTTCAGTTTGGTCCCAGTTGAAACTAATTCACTATATACGCTTCAGGTCCATTGTGGGGAATCGAATTAGTGGTTCAGTTCCTTTTGTGTTCGGTAAAATTGCTAGTCTAAAGGAGCTGTAAGTTTTGGAGTCAAATCCACTCATTTCAAAATTGTCAAAAAAGAAAAGAAAAGAAATATAGTTGATATAGAAGCTGAATAAGTTTGTATTGATGTCATAGGGCCTTGGAAGATAATCAGCTCAAAGGACATCTTCCTCAAAGTCTTGGAAATTTGAGCAACTTACGAAGATTGTAATTTGTCCTTTTGATTTTTTCCATTCTCTGTTTCCTGCATTTTCTTTTGGTGCTTCCTAATATTTGACTTTGTTTTTGCATCAAAATGCAGACTTCTTTCTGCAAATAATTTTATAGGGACAATGCCAAAAACATTTGGAAATCTCAAGAACCTTACTGATTTGTGAGTGACATCATGTGATGCAACTGTTCTGTTTAGTTTTTAATTCTTATCAATTTTATTTTCAGATTTAGTTAAGTCCTTGTTAAATACTGAGATGAGATCACTCCTCACAACTTCCGCAGTAGGATAGATGGGAGCACATTATCAGGGAAGATACCAAGTTTTATTGGGAATTGGACAGAATGTACCTCTTTGTGAGTATCCTTGAATTTAAAGATTCCTTATTGTACTTCATACTATTCACTTTCTACGAGAATTTTATGTTTTCGTCAAGAATATGCAGGGCACAGGCATGGAAGGCCCCATTCCTTCCACCATATCTTTGTTGAAAAATTTGAAAGAATTGCGGGTTGCTTATTTTCCCTTCGAAGCAACAGCACATATGTTGTAAATTGTTTTGGAATTTACTCTTCAATAAATGGTTCTTTCCTCTTTAATTAAAGAGACATTTTTATTTCAGGAGAATATCTAATCTGAGTGGAAACACAACCATGAAATTTCCTGATTTGAAGGATATGAAGAGTTTGGAACGACTGTGGGTTGGAAACTTTTCTACCATTATGCTAAAATCTATATTATTCATTTGGGTTTTGTGTGAACTGGCTTATAATTCTCCTTTCTATGACTGCAGGGTACTGAGAAATTGCTTAATTACTGTTGACATTCCGAAGTACATTGGTGAAATGAAAAACTTAAGGACTTTGTAAGTCGCTACTTCGACAGGGCAGTTAAAGAGATTGTCAAGATTTTCAACTCTTTTATATTTAATGGATGCATTAAGGCATTCTCTCACCATTTCCAAGTATAATAATTGATTTAAGACTAGCTTATTGATTATTGGTCCTTATTCACTAATTTGCGTCTGGGTTACCTCATTTTCTTGCATAGAGTTGAGTTTTAACAGGTTGACTGGTTAAATTTGAACTCATTTCAAGAGTTGCATTTTAATCAAATGTAAGCAAACATTAGCATTTGTTGGTAAGAAGTGTTAAAGAAAATAATGTGGATATTCTATCAATAATAATCATCAAAGGGATGGGTTTAGTGCTTTATCTTTTATGCTCTGCTTGGATGGGAAGACAGGTTAGAAGGAAAGAAAATGGGAGGAAAGAAAATAGAGAGAAGGAAAAACTAGAGGGAAAATGTTATCATCCCTCTTGCTTGGATAGATGAGAGAAAATAGAGAGGAAAGAAAATTAATAAATATCCAAATGACTAAAATGTCCTTATTAAATATATCATATTTAAAATTAAATTAAACTAAATATTCTGATAGAAAGATTATACTAACATTGGCATCATCAAATGATTAAAATCAAGTTATTTGGTTGATATATATTATTAGATTATTATATTTTAAAGCCAAATTATTTAATAAAAATATTGTTTTAAGATTAAAGAATAAAAAATGAATAAATTTTTAAATATAATAAAAGAAAATAAATATGGAAAGTAAGAGATGGTAGGGGTAGTTATGAAAATCTTGTTTTCCTTTCCAAATCTCTCCATATATGGGGAGAAAATGAGGCATGGGGCCCATCTTATTTTCTCCCCACTTTTCCTTCATCCTATATTTTCTCTCCTACCTAAGCAAGAGAAAAGTTATTTCCCCTCATGTTTTCTGTTCTTGTTTTCTTTCTTCTCTAATTTTCCCTCAATCCAAGCTGGGGTTAAAGAAGGGTTTGGATGTTATTGGTCCTTTGGTTTTTTTTTTTTTTGGGTTAAGCTATTGGTATCCGGTGCAATCTGGACACTGGACTTCTTGGCCCAATATTTTTGTTCATAATGACCTATGTGTCTTATGATCGTGAAACCACAGACCATCTCTTTTTTGAATGGAAAATTTAAACTGAAGTAACGAGGATTCTAGTGAATTGGGTTGATTTGTGACATAGTAACACATGTTCTTGAAGCCACACCACAAATCGCATCCTATCTTCAAGACAAGAGTGGCTATGTTTTGGTTTTGCAGCTATACATGTAATTTGGCAGGCTAGGAATGATGTTATCTTCAAGCATGAATGTTCCAGTTGCGATAGGTTGTGTTATAGGGTGATCAATGATCTCAAAGTTAGATGGAAACATCTGTTAACAGATAGGAATAGACATACGAAGGCTACATGAGCGAGATTCAATATTTAGGAGAGCCTGTATGATTTTGGTGTGAATAAATTTTGAAATGAATATAAGCATTCACTTTTTTCAAAAACAATAATTATCAATAGGACTAAGGGACTAAGTTAATTGTGGATGCAGGTTTCTGACAAACGATTATCTGAATGGAACAATTCAAGAATGGGTGGTGGAGAATAAATATAATATGTTAGCCTATTCTCTTAATATTTCTCCATTTTATAATTCTAGAGTCACCTTCTATACAACTGCAAAGTCCCATATTATTGAAAAAGCTAAACTTTTAATCTCATGATATTTGCTTTCAGTAATTTATCATATAACAATTTTACTAAGGTTTCTATGTCTAATTGTCAGAACTTGCAAGTGTAAGCTTCTCTTTGTTTATCAATTAGATGAGCGTGCATTTCAAATTAACCAATGTTGTAATTCTCAACTTAATATTATTGATGGACAAGAACTTAGCTTCCAGTCTCTCATCATCAGGAACAAATGCGTAAGTTCTTGCCTATGGCATACTTGTTTAAAATTTAGTTTCAGTTATATCTCTTGGAATCATCGATTGAAACTAACCACTGATTTTGTAGAACCTGCTGTTTCAAGAAGGGCCTACTTTGTCCAAGAACACCTCAATGTGAGTTAAGATTTTTTCCATCAATGATGTTTTTAATTTGTACACCACAAAAATTTTGGTAAGCAAAGCTACGATAATTTCTTCTTGATAACATATCATGATATTTCAATTATACAGATAACTCGTTGTTCATTAACTGTGGAGGACCAAAGATGAAGTTTGAGGGGAACGAATGTGAAGAAGATCCCAATCCAAATGGCATTTCGTACTTCAATATCAAAGATGACAAATGGGCTTATAGCAGCACAGGAACATATATATTTAACGATAAAGCTGATTATGTAACAAGTGTGACAAAAAATAAGTTTTCTTTGATTGTTAATGGCTCAGAATACTATCAAACAGCCCGTCTTAGCCCCTCGTCACTCAAGTACTATGGCCTATGCATGCTAAAGGGTAATTATAAAGTAAAGCTCCACTTTGTAGAGATAATGTTTTCTAGTGACCAAAAATTTAGCAGCCTTGGTACACGCATATTCGATGTTTCAATTCAAGGGAGTGATGAAAAGAAACGCACTCTATTTGATTGTTTCAATTGCTTCTTACATTTTTATCAAATGTCTTATATGGTTTTGCTGGAACAAAGTAGTTTCAAAGCTATAGATTTATTATTGCATTTTCATAGGGTTTGAAATGCTTGAAAGATTTTAATATTACGAAGGAAGCTGGTGGAGTTGGTAAGGGCATCACTAAGGAATTTGATGTTGATGTGAACGATACCACTTTGGAGATTCATTTATATTGGACAGGGAAAGGAACTACTTCGATTCCCACTAGAGGTGTATACGGACCTCTAATATCTACTATCACAATGATGCCAAGTAAGTAGTATTTTTCACGTTATTATATAACTTACTGTTTTCTTATAAAATACATCATGTTATGTGGTGTAGGCATTTATTCTTGGTTGCAGATTTCAAAGTTCCTTCACAAGGGCTCTGTGTTGATAACCAAAGGAATGATAAAGGGTTTTCAGCCAGAGCTATTGTTGGAATTATGGTTGGATTATGTCTATTCCTCATAGTGGTATTACTCATTATCCTTCGAAAGAATAGTTTCCTTGATGGGAAAAATTCACAAGACATAGGTAATATTGGAGCATAAAATAAGCTAATTTAGGTTTTGCTAATGAAACTTCATTAACAATATACTTTTAATTACCAAGGTGCCATTATTTTTATTATACTAACCAATCTTTTCATGGATAACTTTTTTCCCTTGGAAATGGGCTTTGTATTTCTACATTATGAATTTTGGTGTCTGATGTATTTTCACCTTATACATGATCGTCAACTATTAGTACATCAATTAATGGAGATTCTAGCTCTCTAATCTTTTATTTCTTTTATAAACAGATCTTAAAGGCTTGGATCTTAAAACTGGTATATTTACCTTGAAGGAAATCAAAGCAGCAACGAACAACTTCAATGCTGATAATAAGATTGGAGAAGGAGGGTTTGGTCCTGTTTATAAGGTTGTTACAGGATGATATATTCTATTAAACTGCATGCATGATCAATTTGCGACTCTTGCTTACCTGAAATCAAAATCCATTTCAACTTTCCTATAACTTGATTTCTTATATCCAAAAACACAGGGCATTCTCAAAGACGGCAGAATAATTGTAGTTAAGCAGCTATCTACTAAATCAAGGCAAGGAAATCGTGAATTTCTAAATGAAATAGGCATGATTTTTGCTTTGCAACACCCTTGTCTTGTTAAGCTTCATGGCTGTTGCGTTGAAGGAGATCAGTTGTTGCTCATATATGAGTTTATGGATAACAATAGTCTTGCTCGTGCTTTATTGGGTAAATTACTAAATGTTTTTGGCCTGCTCTGCTTTATGACGATCCACTATCTTATACCCCCTCTATCTTTTATTATAAGATCTAATTTATTGAACGGGTTTGTCCCTTTTTATAAGATCCTATTTGAGCTTATTTGAGCATTGAATACAGTATTACCTATTTTACTACTAATTTAATGTATTTAATACATTCTCTTTCTTCATTTATCTGACTATTACTTTTTAATATTTATCCATTTATATACAAGGGAGAGGGATATATTTGAAAAAAAAATTACATTTGCTACATATTAATTGCTTTTAACTAATTTTAACTGTTTTCTTAAATCGCATAATTTAGTTAAAAGGATCTTATAATAAGGAACAGAGTAATATCATGGTTATGTGAGAATGGAGTATAATTCATGTTTTATTAAAAAACAAAGGCCCAAAAGAACTCCAGATAAAATTGGAGTGGCCAACAAGACACAAGATTTGTGTTGGAATCGCTAGAGGTTTGGCTTACCTTTATGAAGAATCAAGATTTAAAATTGTTCATAGAGACATCAAGGCCACGAATGTGTTGCTTGATAAAGATCTCAACCCCAAGATATCTAATTTTGGTTTGGCCAAGTTTTACGAGGAGGAAAATACACACATTAGCACCAGAATTGCTGGAACTCGCTTAGTTAATTAGTATTAACTAGTAACCTATTAAATGTTATTTAGTTATATTTGTTTGGATAACACATGGGAGATGAAAATACAAATATGGTAGTGAACATCTCCTTTATGAAATTGATAATAATTTTAATTAAAGGTGATATAACACAAAGAAACAAAAATGCAGGGCATTTGGCTTTACTAACTCTTATTTTATGAATGAAATTTTATTATGCAGTGGTTATATAGCTCTTGAATATGCAATGCATAGATATTCGACTAAGAAAGCATATGTTTATAATTTTGGAATCGTTGCTTTGGAAATTATCAGTGGCAAGATCAACACCACTCAAAAGTTAGAGGACGAATGCTTTTATTTACGTGATTGGGTATCCTACATCCCAATGAATTAAGTAGATAGCTCAGCTTTTCCCAATTAAATTGTGTACACTGGCTTATAAGGCTTCCATTTATATGTACTGTTGTTATCAGGCACATCAGTTGAAAGACGGAGGTAATCTGATGGATCTGGTGGATCCAAAGTTGGGTGAGGACTTTAATAGAGAGGAAATAATGACTGTGATTGATGTGGCTCTCCAGTGCACTGAAAACTCTCCAAAACTCAGGCCTACCATGTCTAAAATGCTTAGCATTCTTGAAGGCAGGCCTGCTGATCTGGAGGTAGTCTCAGATGATGAAAGTGAGATTATGGATGATGACTTGAAACTGAAATTGGTCATGAAAGAAGAAGCTGATAAAGATGAGACCAATCAGGCCATAAACTCGTCAAGCCATGAGTCTCAGACCACATCTCAACCCTTTTCAGAATTCTATTCGGCCAGTAAAGATTCTTCTTCCTGGGAGAAAACCATCTAGCTGTATATATCTTAAACATGTTTATCTCGCCATAATTTGATGGATATATTATGTTAATATTGTACTATAAATTCTCTTATGATGCCACACCTTGATATATACTTCTCAGAACTATCAGGAACGGGTCATGTATGGATACATTTCTGCTGTGATCGATAGTAGACTGTAGAATTGTTAGTCATGTTAGCTAAAAATAATGTTTTGCCCATTGATTCATCGGATCCTAAAGTACTAATGATTCCTGAACGATGCGAAGGATACCTTTATATTTAATTTAATTTTAGGGCCGAGAATGTCAATAGTATTATAGATTTAATTATAAGGCTTGGCCCAACTGTGAGTGATCAGACCCAAGCCTAAGCTTGCTGTTAACCTGAAGCTCTGTCAATGTTCAGGTGAAAAAACAAAAGCTGTGTGGATGGAATGAGATTGAACTTTTCGGAGTCACCTTCTTCCCCTGTTCCATCCTTAACCTCTGGCTTTGAAGCAGAGTGTGATTGATTTACTATTTAGGGAACAACACAGGGACAAAGTGTGAAGGAATTAAAAGGGTTGCAGTAGACGTATCGAAGGAAAGAGCCACGAAAGACAACTCTATTCTTCATTCCTTTATATTTCAGTCAAGGAGAAGAAGCACCGCAAAAATCACTTCTTTTGCTTTGGAATTTTCTCTTCACCAGATCAATGTACGTTGATCATATATATATATGACCTTTGCATTTTGAACGTAGATGCATGTTCTGCCACTGTGCATTGTAAGTATATGTTGATCCTTTTATCCTTAAAAAAAAAAGAGGAAGAAAAAGCTGCTATCAAGAAATTGGCAACAAAAGAACGTAGTCTGTGGTTAAACCATATAAATTGGTGAGTGCAAGCATTGGGTTGTGCTGCTTTTGTGTTATAATATCGTACATGTACAAATTTTAGCTGATAACAAATGCAATGTTAAGTGTTGATTGATGCCTAATATAAATCAGCTAGTTGGAGCTATAACACTAAGATTGGTTAAACTTCAAAAGGATTTGTTTTAGGGGAAAAATACCACATTTGATAATTAAAGTTTAAGCGTACATTCAGAACTTGGTATATGACTCAATGTATTCCGTTTGACATTGTATAAATAATTACCCTACGATTCTTTTTCCACAAAGCCTACTATTCTTGTTTACTCCTTTACTAAAGAATTGAAAAATACATGCAAGTTTTCTTCCTGCCTGATGAACAAATCATGCGTAAAAGGAGAAAAGAGAAGAAAAGGAGGAGAAATAGAGAGAAACTACAAGAAGCAAAAGACAAATGATCTTAGTATTGTTCAATAGGCTAAAAGTCTAACATCAAAATAACCTGAGGGTTATTTACAGAGCTCTAAGTGTAATTATTGAAAAGTTAAATAAGATAAACCTAAATAATTCACAAAAATAAATAAAGACAATCTATATTTCAAACAAATATCATTATTATAACATAATACAAATTCTATAACTACGGTTTCCAACCATTAAATTTTAATCTTCAAGAAGCTTACTAGATGAAGAAAAATCATCCTTACTCAGAAGAGATATTGAGGAGTCAACCCATAACCCATCTGTTGACTTGCCTCTTTGTCCCATACTTGATTGAGAGGCTACAAATGTCTGGCTGTCATACGACAGCATTTTGAACCTTGCATATTGGTCTTTGAGCTTGTTTATCGGTGCTTGAATTGGAGTTTTTCCCTCAAGCATATGCTCACTACAGATGATATGGAGGGTCCGAGGGCGGGAGATAGATTAGTGCACAAAAGAGCCAAATTTAGCATTCTCATGGTTTCATCTTGAGAGTAGTTTGAACCAAGACGTGGATCCACCAACTCTAAAAGCTTTTCTTCCTATTGGAGAACACAGACTAAGAAAAACTTAAACTGTATTAACTCTCCACTAATTAAAATATAATAACTTTTCAACCTTATCCTTAGTAATAAATGCACTTTTCCAAAAAGATAATTATATAGACTCTAATAAATAAAGAACAAAATAGTACATAAATGTTAAAAATTTAATAAAGTGACTTATAAATAGGATTAAAAAATTTATTTTCTCTTTATCCTATAAATGAGATGAAAAGAATAATTTACATTATAAAATAAGTCTTATATTTAAAACACAAGCAGTGTTAATTAATAGAGAAGAAATTAAGAGAGAAGGCCAAGATCAGAAAGCGGAAAAAGGGACATTCGCAAAAGCCTTCGCATGCATGCATGAGCCCAAAAAAAAAAAATCACGTCACATCGATCGTTTAATTTTAACTATTTTAGTCAATTATTGCGCACTAATTAATTGTGGTCTAATTCTTGATATGATCTCACTTGGTACATGGGAAAATATGTTGGGGATTGAGGCATTCTGAAACCGTGTTATAATTTGAGGATTTTCGTTGTATCCAGTTGTCAAGTCGGTCATTCAAATTCAAATTAGTCTTGTCAATTTTGTGAAAGGGAAATTTAATATCACCAATAACATATTAACATAACATCACAGGTCACACGTACTTTTTAATCGTGGGCTGTTGTTGGAGCCACTTAAGACGATAAAAATGGGTTGGGGGGTAACCTCTGACTTTTTCCTTTTGCGAAAGTACGCACTGGGAGAATATTTTCACTGTACGCAAATTGATAACGAACAGCTTAATCATTTTGTTTTTTTGGGTGTCAGCAACTTAATCATACGGTGTTATAAATAACTCATGGACGATGAAAATGGAGTTTAGCTTCACACTAGATGTGTGTGTGTGTACAGATGCCAGAGTAAATAACGTAAACAAGAATATTCAAATGAATTGTCCTCAACTATCACGTAGGGAAATCATATTCCTCAAGACCTGGTTTGGTTGTGCGTATTGACTCCATCTCTGCATAGTTAAATTCAAGTCAACCTCATCCTCCATCAGGTCGACGCGCGATCCTAGCCGGTTGTTTCTATTAAATCCAGCCGTCTATCACAGGGAAAAGGTCCTCCCTCTCCCTCTCCCACGCACAAAGCAATTAGATTTATAAGCAGAGCTTTTGAGGGTGCCTTGGTTTTAAAATAATACTCCATTCAGTTTAAAATATAAGATAAACTTTATCTATTTATGTTTATCAAAAAATTAGTTAAAATCATTTTAAAATAATAAATATGTAAGACATGTATTTTTTTTTTTCAAATATACTCTTATTAGTAAAAAGAATAAGTAAAAAAGAGCAATAAATAAATTAAAGAAAAAAGAGAATATATGAGGATAAAATTAAAAAAAAACTCATTAAATACTTAGACAAAAATAAATGTTATCTTATAAAAAAAACCGACTTCCTTTAACAAAGTTTAAAATAATACTCCATTCAGTTTGAAATATAAGATAAACTTTATCTATTTATGTTTATTAAGAAATTAGTTAAAATCATTTTAAAATAATAAATATGTAAGACATGTATTTTTTTTCCAAATATACTCTTATTAATAAAAAGAACAAGTAAAAAAGAGCAATAAATGAATTAAAAAGAAAGAGAATATATGAGGATAAAATTAAAAAACTCATTAAATACTTAGATAAAAATAAATGTTATCTTATAAAAAAAAACCGATTTCCTTTAACAAAGTTTAGCTTATATTTTAAACCGGAGGGAGCAATACATCTGAAAGGTTTTCACAGGTAACTCCAAGGGGAAGCAGCACGAAGTACAACATGAGTTGTTCTCAATATTGCCTTATTGTGATCCTTCTCTTCTGCTTCTTCTCCCCTGTTGCCCTCGGTGTCACTTCACTAGATGAAGGTGTACAGTGTACACACACTATGCATAACTGGATCCTATATTTTGTATATATGATCATGGATTATGTGATCAATAATCTCTCCATGAGAGGATATGTGTGTGTGAATATATATATATATATATATTTATCTGTATGTATGTATATGTATGCACGTAAATCACGGGGCATGGATGGGACTGATCAATGGAGTGGTCCAACTTGATGACATGCACATATGTACCCAAAAACCAGACTAGCTAGAGGTCACAAAAGGCTTTCGGGACAGTAGTGAGCTCCTTCAATTTTCCCCACATACTGATGCGAAGTTTGATGGGGCTTCTAAGCTCAGCTCCATTATATACTGACGTGGAAAGCTATCCTCGAAACGAACGGCCACCAATCACTTGCTTCTACCTTATTTAGATAAACCTAATCATTGCTCATCCTTGTTCCCAATTCTTTTTTAATCACGTACGCACTAACTGCACGAGATTATAAGTTACAAGTTCACTGGATTTTACTCCTGGCTAATTCTACGCTCAGTATTTACATGAATCCACTTCAGTTTCAATCAGCATTGCATTTTCTTCGATACAATAATCATCATTATATAGAAGAAGTAAGAGCATAAGTGGTTCTCTCACTACTTCCTCAATATGGCTCGAACCAGACAGACTGGCAAGTCTGCAAAAACATGTCCATCACTGTCTTTCTCCCTTTGTTGCTAGCTTTAGTTATTGTTTCCGCTCAAGCAAGAGTCCCAAGCGACACATATGGTTCGAGCCAAACAGACCCATTCTCTGCTTTTCTGCTCAAAGCCATGGATTTCTTATGGATCCGTGGTCGTTCTGGTTATCAACATGTCTGGCAGGTAAGTTTCTTGTTACCCTCGTGCTGTCAAAGAATATGCGCGCGCGCGCGCGCGTGTATATTTATATAAAATATGAATCCTACTATGTCTATCTCTATTTTTCGTCGAAACTTTGAGAAAGATAGCTGGGAAAGTAGGAAAGAAGGACTGGAACTCGTAACTGGACCAAAAATGACGAAGATAATGCTGTCGTCTGCAATTGTCCTCCTGCTGATGGTTTTTGTCATGGTATCAACATGTACGCGTCTCTCACTGACCTCTTTTTTTTCCTTTTTTTTTTTTTCCTTGCACATCTTTGAACGGGACACCTTTTCCCAAGGAAAAAATGGTCAAAATGGTCATTTATATTTGCAAAAACCTAATTTACTTATAAGTGACCAATTTGACATTTATAAATTTACTGAAATAATCATATTGCCTTTTATTTTATTGATTATTTTTTAAAAAACAAAATGTCCCATTAGCCTAGCGGCTACAATAATTTTTTTGAAAATTTTTATAACTTTAGTAAAACAGTTAACAAGTTTTGTAATGCTATTAACAAGTTCAGTATAACAATTAATAACAGGTTTTTTCAGAAAATTTAAAAAGTAGTGTTTTTACAATTCTAATAATACCGTTAACAAATTCCGTAACTCTATTAACAACTACGGTATAACATTTAATAACAGGTTTTTTGAAAAATTAAAAAAATGACATTTTTATAACTTTAATAATTAAGACTTCATAAGTATATTTATTTATGACAATAATCTTATAATAATTCATAGATGGTGAAAAATGAAACACAGTTTGTTTTACCATCCTTGACCTAATAGGATTAAGCAACAAAAGCATACATCATACTCACAGACGGATTAAGAAAGATTTAAAGAAACATTCAGTGTTATTGTGGTAAGAGGCTCTGAATCGCAATAAATGGCCAAATGAAAAACGGAAACGAATATTCAGCTTCATTATTTTATTTTTTTGAAGAAGGCAAAATGATTAATTAATAAAAATTAAAAGGCCTACAAGTTGCAATTAAGAAAAGGGAAAGCAAAACACGAAAAAGAAACAAAGAGATTTAGGTCTCTGCTAACTAAACAATCTACTTTATTAAAGTGACGTAAAAGAAGATTAACTTCGCGCTCAAGCTCCTCCACCGTAACCTTCTAAAGCTGTGTCAAATCAATTAGTCTCCGCTGAAAACAGACAAGCTAAAGTTGAGAGTAGTCGCCACCCATTACTCTGCCCACTTTATCATTCCAAAGCAAGGTAGTTCGAAGGCAAAGAGAGTTAAACCTCCTAGGATTGAGAAAAGAACGGCGACAGATGAATCCTTGAATGGGGTTCCCTCTAAATATTACAATAGCTATTAGAGAAGTGCTCCGTTTGCATTTCTTCTTTAATAAGAGTACTGTCCATCCATTGTTAGACAAGGAGAACTTTGCGTATTTTGTGCCAGCAGTACTTCCTTTTTGTTTTGTCAATGAGAGTGAAGAGGAAAAAGCCATTTTAAGGTATACTCTCCAACCTTGGATTTCTTTAATAACCTGCATGGGTTGATCAATCCTTCTTTTATGCAGAGCTTGATTACGCTTCCACCATATTATATTCAGAACAATGATGATGCCATATATTGAGGAGGGACTTATGGTTACCATGAAAGAGCCTTATCATTATTGTTTTCAGCCAGGAAATAAAAGAATCAAAGGTTGATGCTTCTATCTTAACTGGCAAACATCCAAACCACAAGGCTCGAACATATGGGTAGAAGATAAACAAATGCTCCAAGGATTCTAAACTGTCACAATCAAAAACACAGTGTGTGGTGATAGATAGATGATGCAAGTTTAGGATATCATTTGTTGGTAGGCCTTTGTGTAAGAATTTCCACATGAAAAACAAGAATTTTAGAGGAAGTGATAGGGACCAAAGGAAGTTCCAGAAATTATCATTTTGACACTGTAATTGCAAAGAACTACGCGATTGAATTTTGAACCCATCTCTAGCAGTGTAGAAACCAGAGGCATTAGCAGTCCATTAAAAAGAATCTTGCTGAGAAGAATTCGGAATTGGAATTGAAAGGATTTCTGTGATATTGTTCTCAAAGTAAAGAGACATGAGAAGAGGAAGGTTCCATCGGTGGGGGTTCCAGTTGAATGGAGTATGCAGTAAGAGATCTTTGACCTTGAATTGAATGCTAAGAATGATCTCGATTGCATAGGCCACCAAAGGTGGTGATTAAGAGGGATACAAGATGTAGGAGACATATTCCACCGAAGATTATCAATGATGAGACCTGAGCTATCAAGCAAACCCTTCCAAATCCAAGAAGTATTATAGGGCTTCAAAAGAAGGTCCTTATTATGTAAATCCACATATTTAATTTTTATTATTAGAGCCAGGATATTAGAGGGTTCCATGGATAGTATGCGCCAAACCTGTTTAGCAAGTAGGGAGTGATTGATGCATTTAGTAGGTCTTATGCCGAGCCCTCCTTGATCAACCGGGTGAAAGAGGAGGTCTTTTTTCTTCAAATGAATTTGATTCTTTCCATCCTTTTCACCTCGGAAGAAATTAATACAAAGACTATCCACTTTGTCATAGGTATAGAGTGGTAATTTGACGCAAGAGAGAATGTGTAGTTTGGCAGCCGATAAAATTGATTTGATGAGAGTTAGCCTGGAGGCTTGAGCTAGTAGTCTCATCTTCCAACCAGCAAGTTTTCTCTGCACTGCCGCTACAACTTGATCATAAATTAGCCTCTTTTGCCTTCCTGGGTCAATCCAAGTACCCATATATTTACCCAATCTAGATGAAAAATGGATGCCAAGAGTCTGAGAGAACTTCTTTTTGTTGTAGTGATTCACGGTAGGACTGAAAACTAGAGTTGATTTAGTATGGTTAATTTCCTATTCTAACTAGCAGCAATAAGTGTCAAGGGCGAATTTAATTGCAGCAATGTTTTGGTCAGATCCTTCAAAGAAAAATATGGAGTCATCGGCATAGAGAAGAAGGGATATAGACATAGCCTTTTGACAAATTTGAATCCCTTTCCACTGACCACTGGGGAGAACGGGTCACCCTGCGTATGCCTCTCTGAGGGTAGATAGGTTCAGTGCATTGACCATTTATCAGTATTTGATAATGGACTATAGACAGGCATTGGAAAGTCATATTAAGCCACTTGACTGGAAATCCCATCCTTTTCATGGTGGCAATTATGAAGGTCCCAAGATAAGTGATCAAATGTAAGGGTGAGTATTCGGTTATTCGGTTCAGTTAATAATAATAATTGAACTAACCGAATGACTGAATACTTCATATTTTCAACACCGAACCGAAACCGAACATGAACAACTGGCCAAACCGAATTAACCGAAATTAATTCGGTTCAGTTAGACAGTTTTTCAGTTATTGGGTCCTCTTTTGGGCTTTGTAATTTGTATATTCCAAATAATATAACAATGACCCAGGCAACAAAATAAACGTTCAAATAGTATTTTGAAAAGTGTAACAAAAGTTTAAACTTGACAATTGTATAACAACTAATTACAAGAAACCTGTCAACCTGAAAATAGAAACTAAAATACTAAAAATTTAAGCAATAACTAATAATCCACTTAATTCCAAGCGTAAATTCAAAAGAGCATACAAAGTACAAACTCCACAAATAAAAATCAATAAAAGCCAACCCCTATCTTAAGTCTTTTTTTGTCCCGTCAATTAAAATCTTTTCATTTATAAAATACCACAGACTCAGCTACATTCCTAAATGTAAAAAGGCAAAAAATTTAAACGCCTTTTAAGTTCCTCCAAAAGTAGAGATGTGTCCCCATAAATTTTAGCGATACTTAATGAAGCCAGTTTCCTTGGCATTGCTTCGGAAGCACTGGCGACAACATATAAGCCCATACACCTGGCAGGTGCGAGAACCAGGACCGTAGTTCTTAGGGTGAGAATTCCACACGTTGGAGTGACCCATCTTCAGCTGCGCCAAGAAACTCTGCTTCGGCTACCAAAGCTCGCGGCTGCTGATGAATGCACGTCCTATCTTATGTCTTTTCTTTATTGCATCTGCAATATACCTCTAATGCAATTCTTTTTGCAGATCTAAACATAAAGAAAAACAAAAGCAGACTACTAATTTCAAATACAAATATACTACCCAAATTAAATAAAATTGTTTTGCAATCATATTATGTTCTGTCTATGCAACATACTCGTATCAATTATCAACGAAAAACATAAATCACTCAAATAAAGAGGGAGCAATGAAAGGCATATGTGGATTATATAAAAAAATATTACAAAAAGATCATAGAACACTAGAACAGTAGCTGTTATCTCCATCTTGTGGTCCAATGAAAGGCATTTCTTCTCACCATCAATGACAGGGGCACAAAAGAACAAAGATCCAGCGATACAGCAATAAGACACTAATACGGCTGAAAAAATTTCTATAACTTGAATGCCATATGTCTCACCTCACCACAACGAAAATCAGAGGCGAGAAATCTCGGGACTGTAACTGGAAATCTGGAATGTGATGGCGAAGGAAGGAGAAGGCTGAAGGGAGAGGGATCGGAGGTCGCGATTGTGATGCTCCTATGTGAAGATCGATGGCGAGTGGTGAGTTGAGTGGCGACTGGCTGACTGCGATGTGACGGCGAAGGAAGGAGAAGGCCGAAAGGAAAGGGAGGTCGTGACTGTGATGCAACTAGATGAAGACCAAGAGTGAATCGGTGAGTGGTGCTGCGTTGTGACGGCGAAGAAGGAGAAAGCTGAAGGGAGAGGCCAAGAGGAAGGTTGCCGATCGCAACTCGTGAGATCGTGAGATCTAGGGCAAAGAGGGGAGTGACTGACTAAAAGGATAAAAGATTATGCGGGGTAGAAAGCACGTGTGAGAGGTGGAGGGGAGGGATAACTGGATAAGTGTGAAAAAATAAAATTGATAAAAAGTTAAAAAAAATAGTTTCCTCTCCCTATTTTTCAGTTATTCAGTTATAACTGAAATATTTTAAGAGACACCCAACTGAACACCAAAATAATCGGAAAAAAAACAAAAACTGAATAAACCGAATTAAATTTGATTCAGTTCGGTATTCGGTGTTCGATTCGGTTTTGTTCACCTCTTATCAAATCACTTAGAGAAGTCCATATCAAGTGCCCCTAGTTTTTTTTTTTTTCTTTTAGACCTTGAAATGTGAACTTGATTCACAAGATCCGCTGCCAGCAACATATTGTCTGAGATAAGCCTCCCCTTGAGACACGCATTCTGGATGGGCCCCATATATCTGGAAACGCATTCTGGAACTTCATCGTCTAATTAATGAACTGAAAAGTGAAACCCCAACAGCCACGTGTGGGGACGGGAAATGTGGATGTTAATTCCAGAGCCAACGCGTTCAGCTCAACCATCTCTGCTCAGGCAGCGTCAATGTCCTCCTGTACATTACGTAAAAGGAAAGTGGGGCCCACTTCTTCTTTTTGTCTGCAAATCCGGACCGCCCAGCAGACCGACACGCGATCCTAGCCGTCCGTTTGACTCAAACCCAGCCGCCTATATATTTACAGGGAAAAGTGTCCTCTCTCTGGCCGCGTTTGGATTTTTTTACTAGCGCCGCATTTAGATTTACTATAAATCAGAGTACAATGCCGGCTTGCCTTGTTTCTAAATAATAAATCTGGAGCATTTTACAGGCAAATCCAAGGGGAAGCAGCATGAATTACAGCACGAGTTGTCCTCAGTATTGCCTTCTCGTGCTCCTTCTCTTTTGCTTCTTCTCCACTTTTGCCCTCGGTGTCACTTCGCCAGATGAAGGTATACGCACGTATATAAAACTGGATCGTATATATTTTGTGTCCACGCACACATGCACACACATGAATCTTATTATGTCTATCTGTATATGTGCTTAGTGGAAGCTTTGAGAAAGATAGCTAGGAAACTGGGAAAGAAGGACTGGGACTTCAACGTAGATCCATGTACTACTTCTGGAACTTGTAACTGGACTACAGACGAAAGCGATAATGCCGTCGTCTGCAATTGTTTTCTTGGTGATAGTTTTTGTCATGTTACCAACATGTACGTGATCTCTTTCATTCATCTCTTTTTCTTTTTAATCTCAGTTTCTGTTAGTACAATTCTTTAGTAGTTTTCAAGATGAGAACACTTAGCCTGCAATTGTACGTTCTCTTGGGGTGATGGTGGTTTTTGTCGGAATCAAATCCTCTCTCAGTGCTACTTTCTAAAAATAATCTACTATTCATCTATCATATTTATCCATTTTATAATCAAATTGACTTAAATTTTTTCATTAATAAAATTTTGAATAGTAACTTTTTCCGTTTTTTTAATAAAAGACAAAATAATATATATATAATTTTAAAGTTTACAAAGTAAAAAAGTAGAAGAACTTAAGCTATGCCCTGAAAAATAAAAAAATGTATCAAAAAAATTTGCTTAAAAGAAAAAACAAGGAAATTATGAAGAAGAGACAGAATTTTTTACCATGTAAATGATGAAGTTTGATTTTGATGAGCAGCTGTAATATTAAAGAAGACTTTTTCAATCCAAATAAAGTGTAATAGTGACTCTTTTCCTCAATTTCCCCTGCATTTTTATATGTATAAAAGTAAACAAACTCTTTTTCGTAGTTTGCTAACTGAATATGTAATTGCTCTTAACATAAAAAATTGCAATTTTGGTAAAATTAACCGTCATTAGTCACATTTCTCAGTCATCCGTATCGAGCAACATAGATTTTTCTATTTTTTTTTTAAAAATCAAACGCTATATTACCTGCTAACTTACAACGATTTAGAACTTTTTTTTTTTGGAAGACTTTCACAAAGTTATTGACAACCAAATTCGTGAACAATGAATAAACTATAGAATTATAATATTATATTGGTAGTTTTTATAAAATATAAAATACATTCTAAATCACACAATCTACAAATTATAAACATTAATTTTGACTATATTTTAAAATCTAATTATTATAAACATAATAATACTTTATTATATCTAAGATGAGAACCCAATTAATTTTTTCATTGTTGTTGTTATCATTATGTAATATTTAATTTGACCATCTTCGCCTTTACGGCGCGGAATGAACGTGCAGTACCCTGAAGTCTCAAAATCTCTCGGGGATTCTGCCGCTAGAATTGAGGGAGCTATCTTACCTTACGGAAATGTATGTGCTTCTAAAACTTGAACTCACACATCTAGGGACACTGCGCTTCTTTCATCAAATCGATTTCTTTCTCTATTGTGTGCACAGTGATCTCGCTCGCAATTACCTCAACGGCACAATCCCTCCAGAATGGGGCTCCACACAACTTACCAAAATGTACTCTGTCCTCTCTTACATTTTGATTTTGATCGAGTATAGAGAATATGATTACGGTTTCGTCCAATTAACATGAATCTAATGATGCATTGTTCTTAATTATACTGTAGTTCGGTTTATGGAAATCGACTGACGGGTACAATTCCACGAGAGCTAGGAAGCATTTCCACTCTCCAGAGTCTGTGAGTTCTGTCAATTATAACCTGAACGAATTGTTTCCCCAAAGCTTTTGTGGAAATTAACTTGGCCTAAAATGGACAGGAACCTAGAGCACAATCAATTTTCTGGAAATCTTCCTCCGGAGCTTGGGAGTCTCACCAAACTTGGAAGATTGTAAGCCTTTGTTTTGATTTTCCGTTTGTAATCCTGTGTTAAATTCTTAGTTTAATCTGTCCGTATGCTCGTTCATTGACCATGTGCTTTGAAATTTGAACTCCATTTGCTTATGTTCATAATCTGTCCTTGTCAACCCAGGCTGCTTAACTCCAATAATTTTACCGGAGAGTTACCTCCTACATTAGCCAATCTCACTGCACTGCGAGAATTGTAAGCTTCCTCTTTTATCATACTCTCATTGCCATGATGAATAAACTATGTTGCTTATTTCAGTTCAACAGTCTAAACTAACAGTCACTTTTCCTGCTTGCACCACACATGGGCTGATGGCAGTGAAATTGGGGATAATCAATTTTCTGGGAAGATACCCGATTTTATTCAGAACTGGACGAGTCTCGAGAGATTGTAAGAAAATCTCTCTTCCTTTTCCTCCCCTTATCAACTCCCATTTCTTTCAATTCTTGAAACGCTCAGCGCCTTTTAATCTGAATGAACGATTTTTCATTTTGTCAGGAGGATCGTAGGCAGTGGTTTAAGTGGGCCAATTCCTTCAGTATTCTCACTAATGAAAAATCTGAGAGAATTGTAAGTATGGTGTGATGATTTCGTTGTAGGTGAGGTTTTAAAAATCACTTGCACTTTAATTATGTTTGACTATGACTGTAAATGACGTGTCCGCAGGATTATTAGTGACCTCAATGGATCTGAATATTTGCCTTTGCCAGAACTTATGAACTTGACAAACCTGAAAACACTGTGAGTTAAATTATTGTTTTGACTATATATATTCTTAACCCTGCTTCCCTTTTGAGTCATTTACAATTATTGTTTTTGACATATGTCTCCCTGATGCAATTATTTGGGAAAGGAAAATAGATATGAGAGGTAACGATGTTTGTCTGGAGAGCATTTCATGCTCATAAAAAATATGAGCTTGAAATGCTCATTTTGGATGATCCAGATTTAATTTAAATATACTTTATATTTTGAATAATTTTTTATTCTAATAGATATAAAATTTAAAATAAAAAGAATCTTATATTTTTTTAAAAAACAATTTTATTATTAAAAAATTACATACTAAAAATTTTAAATCTCAATGGTTGAAATAAGATTTTAGATGCCAGATTTTATGATTAGACGAGGACGCTGACAATCTGATTGTTTTACAGGATTTTGAGGAATTGCAAGATTAATGGAACGATACATCCATATCTTGGGAGTATGCAAAATTTAAATAAAATGTAAGTGCTCGTTTCTTTATAATTACTAACTAGAACAATATCCCCCATGTTCTATTAGAGTAATCAAAAAATGGGATAAAAAATGCAAAAGCAAATTGTA